CCAGCCTCACATGCCGACGTAGACGGGTCAAGTGTGATGAGCTGAGGCCTCGTTGCGCGACATGCACCAAGTCGGCGAGAGACTGTCTGTATGTATCGCCAAACGATCCACAGGCAGAATCCAAACCTGGCGATTCAAATTTGAGTCCTACTCTGGCTTCAGCTTCGTCAGCCCCTGGTGGTGCATCAGCAGTACCTGGGGATGCATCAGCAGCCTCAGTGAAATCCGCATCGCCACTTATTGCCAGAAAATCAGTCGCATCAGAAATCGACCATTCGCAATTCAGCAACTCTCCTGAGCTTTTGTTCGATTCGCCGTCAACCAATCTTGCCTCAGTCCCTTCACCCAATTCTGCTCCATTGGAGTGGTATGACTTGCTTGCTGAGGATGCAATTAACAACATTGACAAGTACAATTTGAACCTGGAACTTGATCGAACTGTTCTCTCACGGCGACAAAGCCCAGCCCCTGAATCCAAAATCGATCCCCAGTTGCAATCGCCTCGGGAAGAAGAGCACGTTGATTCATCGTTGGACGAGCAATGGAATTCTCCAGAGAACATACCCATTGGAGACGATGAACTCATCCTACTCCGTCACTACATCAACGTAGTTGGCCCTATTCTGGATCTCTGCGACCCGTCAAGGCAGTTCACAACCACCGTACCAGGTTTAGCAGTCCACAATGTCGGTCTACTCAAGTCATTACTTGCGGTAGCAGCAAGACACATGGCACTCACCGGCGAGCCGCAACTTCACAAGCTCAGCATAAACCCACAGACGCCAGGGTCCACTATCAGCGACTCGAATAACTCTACCGTTCCACTCCTCAACATTTCCACGCAATACTACTACGAGACCCTACACTATCTCTCGCAAAACTTGCTATACCCATCGTATTCCAAGTCAAGGGAAATCATTGCAACAGCCCTTTTGATAAGCACGTATGAGATGTTTGATGCTGAAAATCAATACAGCAACGGTGCTTGGGAGCGGCATTTACGTGGAATCTTCTGGATTCAGAGAGCACAGAACAATAATGGCGAAAGCAAAGACCCTTTGAGAAGAGCCGCATGGTGGTGTTGGCTTCGTCAGGACAGTTGGGTAGCCTTTCGCGAAGGGCGGCGAGTGCTCACCATCTGGAGACCGACCAAGCGCTTGATGGACCTCACACCAGACGAATTGTGCTTGAGAATTATGTACATCTGCGGCAGATGTGTAGACTTTGCTGCAAACGAGAAGAAATACGACATGAATACACGAATTGATCAGGGAGGGAAACTTTTACGAGCTCTTGAGGACTGGCACAATGCACTGCCATCGACCTTCAAGCCTATTTACAGGCCTGTAGGTGTGCTACCAGAGCCAGGTAATTTGTTTTCACCCATTTGGATCCACCCTCCCTCGTATGCGGCTGCCATTCAAACTTTTCATTTCTCCAGGATCATTGTCCTTATCAACCAGCCTTCTTTAGGCGGCATGGACGACTTTCGAGTGCGTCAACGATTGCTCGATGAGAGTGTGGAGACTGTATGTGGTATTGCCATGATGCATCAAGGCGAGGACGCTGGGAGTACTTTTATCGATGTTCGAGCCCTTTACGCAGGTGAGAAGTTCCTACTCCAAATACGACATGTGATACTAACCATGTTCAAGCTGGGCTTTGTGTGCAGAGTCCTGCGAAGCAAAATACTGTTTTTCATCTCCTGGAGAAAACTCTTCAGTTGACTAATTTCCCATCAAAAAAGTTGACCATAGATCTTGTCAACTATTGGCGAGCGGAATCACAATGAGAACTATGATTTTGACACGAGATCTTGACGCTTGCATGTTCCTGTATACGCTTGCATGTTCTTGTATAGTTTCTACGCTTATCTTCACCACTGCCCCGGAACCTACTTGCCATGGAGCTGGGAGTTTTCTGCCATGCGAACACCCGTACCTGCAGCCTGGGACTCGGTTAGGTGGGTTCAGAACGCTTCAGCCACGTCTGCACGTTGGCTTCACTGCGATACCCCGGTACGAGTGCATATCAACATGTGCGGCCCACGTTGCGAGGCGTCAAGCCACGACCCGGAACGTGGACATGGAAACTTGATTCAAGTAGTCCATCTCCACATACCAACTTGCGACTCGATTGAGTCATGAATCGGATGCGGGTCTCCAGACGGGGTAAAAAGCGGGGTTACGGGTGTTACGGTGGTTAGTGACGAGATCGTGTTGATCTTCACCAGTTACGCCCGAGAAAAATGTGCCTCGTTACGAGGGTCACTTTGTTCCATCTTGCTCACGCGAGCTCCAGCAAGAAATGCGGGCCAAATTCGGAAAGCTCCGGTGACAAGAATAAAATCTCTTCTCGTAACGAGATCCAATTAAATCCAACTTTCGCCGCGGCATTGCCAGGTGCACCAAACCGAAGTCAACAAGAATAATCAGTGTTCCGAACCTGGTTCCGAACAAGTCAAACCATTTGCATTTGTTTTCCGTGCATCCTCACTCATTGACCACAGTACTGCACCTTTCATTTTTGATCTTTTTCATAATTCACGTTCGGAAACACAGCCATCATGACGGCAGCAAAAGGGAGCAGAACATTGCAAATCCTCAACGCCGCAGCGGCCGGGAAATATGGGGTAATGGCTGCGATTGCGTAAGAATTTTGGTGTTTGTGAAGTTCACGTACTGACATTTTACAGCTACAATGTCGAGCAGCTTACTGCTCTTGTAGCCGCCGCAGAAGCAAAACGATCACCATTGATCATCCAACTCTTTCCCTCAACACTTAAGCAACTACCACTTCTCGCACATACCGCTGCCGTTGCAGTAAAACAAGCAACTGTGCCTCTGTCATTACACATCGATCATGCTCAAAACGTGGAGCACATCCGGGAGATCATCGCAACATTACCGGTAGATTCGGTCATGGTAGATATGTCTCACTATGATGAAGAGGAGAACTTGGAGAAGACTCGGATATTGACCAAGGAGTGCCATGAGCGAGGTATCGCTGTGGAGGCCGAGAGTGGAAGGATCGAGGGCGGCGAGGATGGAATTGCCGATACAGGAGATCTTGAGGGTATGATCTTTATCCAAAACAGCTATTCGTGCTTTCTGACTTTCGTAGCTCTTTTTACCTCACCCGAAGACGTTGACAACTTCATCGCCGCCGGAATCGACATCCTCGCACCATCAATCGGCAACGTCCATGGAGACTACGGCCCAGCAGGTCCCAAAGAAGGTCAACTGCACTACGATCGTCTCGAAGCAATTGACAAGCAGATCAACAACCGCGTCCTAGTTGCATTACACGGCACCAACGACTTCCCACCTGAAGTGATGCAACGATGCATTCGATCTGGAGCCGTCAAGCTGAACGTAAACAAGCTGTTGCTAGAAGTTGGCAATGAGTTTTTGAGGAAGAATGCGGCAACCTTGCCAATAGTGAAGTTGATTGATGGGCAAATGAAGGTCATCCAGGCGGAGACAGAACGGTGGATGGACATCTGCGGCAGCAGCGGTAAAGCCTAGATTTGCGTCGAAATCAAACCCTGTACAGCAGTATACGAGCCACACACTTCTTCCGTTGCCTTTCTACTTTCCTACTCCACGCGACCAAACATACTACTCACCATTCCCAAGACCATGCCGGGGCCCAGCACCTCCTCGCTAACCCACAGCACCAGCACCACGCCATCCACCCCCAAAAAATCCCTCACGGCGCACCCACCCCGCCAACCAAAAACACACTCACACGCATACTAAAAACCACACAGCAGCACTCATCTTATTCTCCGCGACAAACGTCGTGGCTCCGTGGCTTGGCACCGCTCATCCGATGCTCCGCAGACGATGTAAGCTGACACTGGGCGCGCCAAGAACGCCGTGGACCGCTGCGCAGCGACGCTCGAGACTCCGGCGTGTCGGCCGACGAGGGTGAAACGTCATTGTAGGGGCGGTGGTTCGGGCTTCGAGGGGGGTTGCGCGGCGTGCGGCGTGTTGAGGCGTGTGGAGTTGTGGGCTTGTCCGGTGGTGCGTTGTGGTGGGGTGTGGTGGGTAGAGGGAGGGTGGGGATGGATATAGATATAGATGTGTGAGGGGATGGTGAGATCCAGTTTTATTTGTTTGGTTGTTTTTTTGTGGAAAGCTTGATATCAGTTTACTTTGTTGTTGTTTTTGTGGAGATCTTGTCCGCCGCGAATACTCATATACACGTATAATTTAGCACGCAGACACATACAAAGGCTTGAAGCGCCATCATGAACAGAATTGAAAAGCGAATCGAGACTATCCAGTGGCAGGAAGTTATTTGGGAACCGCGCGTCGCGAGTTCAGCAAGGTAAATACACACCCCTATCCTATCACAACCCCTCCCCTTTCATACAAAAAAAATAACTAACTCATTCCTCTTCTCCTCACAGCAGCATCCCTTCAATCCCCCCCTTCATGACCACAACCCCAACCGTCGAATCAACTATAACATCCTCGCCCGCGCTCCCCCTCCGCCCAAGCATAAAACGCATCCCGCGCAAGAAATCCCTGTGTCCGAAAAACATCCCCGCTATGTTTAAAGCGGAAACCCATACAGCAATCAAGAGTCCGCTGGCGCAGCGGAAAGCTACAGACAAGAAGTCGAAGGCGAGAGATGGGGAGGAGCGGAGACGAAGTTCGGGGGAGTGGGTGGATATGGTGTCTTTTTTGGAGGAGAGTAGGGAGAGCGAGGTGCCTGGACGAAGACGAGGGAGTGCGGTGCCGGGGAGGACATGAGATGTTAGTCAGGGCTGGTGGTAGTGAAGAGAATGTACGATATGTGAGGATTGACGTTTGACGCTTCATGAACGATAGACATAGATTTCTTTGCCGTTCGATATTGGCGAGATAAGAGGAGGAAGAGCTACACAAAAATATCAAATCAAATATTACACAAACCATCCAGCCGATCCATCGCCATTCCGATAGAATGAATGCGCAAAAAAGGCAAAAAAAAAAAGAATCACACTCAAGAGGTCTTGCCCGGAATCGAACCGGGGTTGCCGGAAGGGTCTTTGTTCTGAGAGTGAATCAGAATCCGGAGTGATAACCGCTACACTACAAAACCGATGGGCTTTTTCAAAATTAATTGGTATACATACAGCAAAAAAATACGTAAAGCCATCTACAAAACAATCGACAGCCTAACTGGAGGGTTTCCAAGAGCGTGAAACGTTTTTCGAGGTGTAGTGAAAAGGTTTGGACCATGTGGGGCTGCTAAGCGAATTTTTTTCACCGTTGAGGATGTACCCAGGGTCAACCCCGCTGTGCTGCCGGGTGGAAGTGGATACACTGCGCAAATACTGGCTGGGTTAATATGAAAGGAGGACTTTGCTAAATGTAGGACTTAAGCGTGCTGATGGGTTTTCCAAAGGCTTTGCGCTTGCGTTGCTGCGCGTAAATCTCCATTCAGTCCTTGCAAACCTTGGGACGTATACAACTCATTACAAAACATCGAAACATCACCAAAACCCAACAGAATAGCACAGAAAGAAGCTGTCGTCGCGAGCACTTCGCTTCGAGTCCAGCATGGCATTACTACATTATTAATCTTCCCACCAGCTCCCCCTCCTCATATCCCTCACTTCGCCTCTTCCCATACTCAATCCATTATTATCCGTTCTCCGCTCTTGCTTATTCGGTATAACAACATCCATCTCCCAACTCATCCGCTCCTCCATCCTGCTGAACCTGCGATCCGCGTATTCCATCTGCTTCTCAACGTTCATGGTTGCTTCTTCGGCGAGGGCGCGGTCTTCGAACAGGAACGCGAGTTCCTCAAGAGTGCGGCCGTAGGTTTCGGGGAACATGAAGTACTTTGGGTGTGTTAGCTGTGGGTGATGCGGGGTTTGAGGGTGCTGGAGGGCTGGACGTACAATGAATACTATTTCGAAGGCAAGCCAGCTGCAGTATGTTATCAGCCAGCGCCACTGGATGTTGTGTAGGCCGATGGGGTTCACGAAGGTTGTGAAGAAGGCGGCGGAGCGGCCGAAGAGTTGGAAGATGGTGATGCCTTTTGCGCGTTGAGCGAAGGGGAAAAGTTCCACGAGGAAGGCTGGGTGTGTTAGCGATCTGGTCCGAGATGCTATCCTTAGGAAGGAGGAGAACTTACTGTATGTGAGGGCGTTATAACCAATGTTATAACACGCCTGATAGATGAAGATGATGGCAATGGTGAGACGTGCTGGTTCCACCTTTTTCGTTGTCGTATACTGTTGAACTGAAATCGTCCATGCAATATAGCAACACAATAATGAAGTCGCACATATGAGGTACATCTTCCTTCGTGGATATCTTCGCACCAACAGACTGATAATCACGGCGTTTACTAGATTCCAGCTGTTCAGCCCAACATTCAGTTTCCCCTTGAATTGCGGATCCTTGTATCCAATCAGTCCAAGCAGGTCGTTGAGGTAGTATGATAATAAGGTATTTCCCGACCACTGCGTGAACAAGCCTAGGAAGCTGCAGATTATCACGCGCTTTCGCATTCCTGGTACAACCACCATCTCGCGCCATGAGCGCTTGGAGTTCTCGAGCTCGATGCGTATCGTGTGTTCGATCTGGGCCATTTCCGCCGCCGCGAAACGAGAGGATGCGTCGCCTTCTGCGTGATATTTGATCAAAATGTGGTATGCCTCTTCCCTTCGGTCTTTCGAGATGAGGAATCGCGGTGACTCCGGGATCATGAATATGAAACAGATTTGTAGTAAACTTGGTCCGACCTGGAGCAAGCTGGGTATCCTCCAAGCCCAATCATCTTTGATGCTCTGAGTGCCGAAAGAGATGCCCGCGGCAATCAGTGAGCCAACAAACCACAGCGCGTTGAAAAGGGAGGTCATGATAGGTCGTTCTTTCGGATAAGCAAGCTCGCCCATGAGTGAAGAGCCGGCGATGATGCAGAAGGGAATGCCGAAACCTAGGATCCAACGTGCAGCGATGTACATACCAGCTGAGATATGTCAGTTTGAAGATGACCAAGAGAAGAGTGAAAGGGGGTACCATTTATTGACAACGCTTGAATGACAGCCCCTACAACCATGATCCAAGACCCTATGAAGATTGCCCATCGTCGTCCATACGTATCGTTGACATACGGGACAAGGGGAAGTGCGCATATAGCACCGAGATTATATGCTGATGAGATGATACCTAGTAATGCTCCTTTGGGCTCGTTGAAGTCTATCATCATCATCAGCAAACAACTTCATATTACCTACACTTTTAAGCGGTGCCATCAACTTACAACTTTGCCATGTTGGCGCAATCTGAACCGCGTTGATCATCTGCGAGTCGAAGCCACTTGTCATCTCTATCCCAATACATGTCGGCAGCAACAAGGCATAGAGTCTCCTCAAGTTTCTTTTCCTATACCACGGAATCTGATCTTGCTCGACGATGCGAGTTAAGACTGGGTCTGCCTGGCGAGCTGCAGCTGCTGCGCCAACGGGCGCCATGCCTCGTGTTGTTCAAAACTCGATGTCGGAATTCGATGTCGATGAGTCAGTCCAGGATCAGGTATGAAGGGTCAGACCAGAGGGAGTTCCAGGTCCAGAAACCGGCAAAGGGTGATGTAAGCTCTCAAACGTCCGTTGACCAGTATGCCGGAGGGCGGGGGTGCGAACAGATCTATATCCCCCATATTGCTGCGGCGTGGTCACAGTCGGGGCAATCTGCGGCATGCCGGTGAGACGGTCAATACGGTTTGACTGCGGGTAAGATACTGGGGTTAGGCACGCATTGACATCCGCCCCCGCATGCTGGTGGTTATATACGAGCGCGGCGTTCCGTGACGAATCAAGACCGGCCTGAAGGCTCAGGGCCATGCGCAGGAGGTAGGAGGCGTCGGACGTGTGTGGGCTTACGACCCGAGCCGTATTTCTGGAAGCACAGTAGCTTCATGAAAGATTATCTGATTTCGCGGGACTGTAAAGCTCGAATAACAAGGACTTTGCGCGATGAAACGGCGGTCCGGGACGCTCAGCCGTTACACCGAAAAGGAATGATGTTCACTCAATTCTGCCAAGCGGGATAAATGACCAACAGCAATTGCAGTGCGACACCAATCATGCCCCCCATAGGAGCTGCTTACACCAATTAAGCTCCTTAGAATGACGCCACATCCGTTACGGTGAGGATCGGTACCACGAGGACGGACGCAGACAGGGTCAAGCTTCGCATCCTGTGGCTGCACCCTTGAACTCGGGGCACAACGTGCAGCGGTAAAGCTAGAGACCGAAGTACAGGTAAGTCTTACGCAGGGCGAAGCATGGTTTTGGCATGGAGCTCGCCGAAGTTCGTTCAGCCCAACTGAACCTGTCGCACAATCTGACAAAATGTGCGAAATGATTTGCTGATGGTAGGATAAGGGGCGTAAGGAATACTCATCCATGAAACGCAACTAAAGGCTATTTGGCCTGAACTAAGTCTATACATCTGACTCGTTAGCGACAACCAAAAGGGACCGAGAAAAAGCCCTGAACGAAGACCATCGTAGATATTCGTTATGGAGTTTAAGTGAAAGTCGGTTGAAGTTTCCCAGCAACTCTCTCCATGATCCGTTCTGGGAGTAAGGCTTCGTACACATGTCCTACCCACTCACAGCACACTCTTCTTGTAAATGCTGGGTCCACAATCTCTTCCACACCGAAATGATTTGCTGTTCGGACCGGATTCATCAGCCGCCTGTATTCGTTCTCCAGCTCCGCATATCGCTCATCTCGCTTCTCCTTGCCGTGCTTGCGCTCGATTTCCTTCAGTTCGAATGAGTGTCCGACTTCAATGCCGCCCTCGAGCGGAAGTGATCCCCACATTCCGGACGGCCAAGCAATTCGCATCCGTGGATCACGACAGTCGAGCATGATGCCTCCTGCTACGCCGTACACGCGGCGTACAATGACACTGAAGATCGGCATGGTGGTACTATAGTACGTTGCGGCGAGAGTGACACCGTGCCGCATTGTTGCAGTTCTCTCTGCTACCGTGCCAATCGCATAGCCTGGCACATCCACAAATTGTACCAGCGGGATGTTGAACACGTCCAGAAACTTTAGCATGCGAGTAATCTTTTGCGAGCCTAGGGCATCAAGCGCGCCTGCATTAACCTCGCAGTTGAGAGAAACTATACCGACTGGTCTGCCTCCAAATCGAGCAAGCCCAACAATAGCTGTAGTTCCCCAGAGTGCGCCGATTTCAAAGAATGAGTTTGCGTCGACAACTTCGGTGATGATCGCGCGAGGATTGTACATTCTGTTCCTAGCTCGAGGGATAATAGAGCGAAGGTTCTCAGACACACGGTCTATTGGATCAGAGCATTCAACAGTCGGTGGAAGCTTGGTACCGCAATCTGGGAGGTAAGAAAGAACGGTCCGCATTTGCTCAAAGCAGCCTGCCTCGTCAGGCGCTAGGTTATCAATCGTCCCGTTGGCTGCATGCACATTTGGGCCTCCGAGGTCTGTGAATGAAAGCCCCTCTTCAAATGTAGCATTCTTGACCACATTTGGACCAGCGTTGAAGAGGCTTCCAATGTCGCTAGACATGACAGAGAAATGGCATGCGACAACGCGCGCAGCACCAAGTCCGATGGCTGGTCCAAGTACGGCCCCTAGATTCGGTATGCCCATGTTGAGCTGTTGAACAACTTGCGTAAAAGAGGGGAGGGGTGGTACATATGAGTACCCAGTGCTACGGATGGTCGTTACAGAACCTCCACCCGATGAGCCGTCAACAAGCTTGACTATTGGTATTTTTAGTGCGATAGCGAGCTTTTCCATGTAGATCTGTAGGGCTTCAGTAAAACTCAAAAGGTTGCTAGTTAATTCATACAGTCTTGTCCATCAAAGCTCCATCAGCATGTCCAGCACGTATTGAGAAGTCGTCGGCAGTAAACACAATTTTTCGTCCTCGTAATCTTCCAAAGCCTGAGGGGTTCAGCATAAGCTTTGTTTGTTAGGCACACATACTATACCTTGAACATTATTCGACGGCACATAGTCGATTGGCTCCTCTTTTACAGGCCCCAATTGCTTCCATTTGACTGTCCCGCTCACACTACCGACCTCTTGGAAGCTCCCTGGATCAAGCAATTGTTCTACCCGCTCCCTCACCCAGAGCTTCCCTGCTTGCTTTTGGCGAACATAACCTCTGTTATTCGGATCTGGTGTGGCTGCAAGTTTCTGCAAGGTTGCAATTTGACCAAGGATATCTGAGTAGTCTGCTGGAAGATCCGAGTCGGCACCCTTTCTACGCCTTCTCTTTGATGTGTTTGGAGTTATATGAGAGCTGACTTGTTCCAGGCGGTCCTGCGCGGTTGAAGATGACGTCGTCGCGTTCTTTTGCGACGGCGGTTGTTCGTCACCAGCCATGATTCTATATGCAAGAAAGAGAAGTAATTGACTGAAGCTCCTCTGATGGAGCGATGAAAAGTAGGTACATTGCCGCAGGTCCGATCATTGAGGGACGGCAGGGGTGAACACTGGAAATCTGGGGAAGGAGCTTCGCGTGCCTCGGCAAGTCGACCTTTCCCCCGCCATCGCGCGTCTCCGTCACTGCGCATCAACGTCGATGTAGCCGAGCATAGTCACCCCATGTTTTCGTGTCTCTCTGTGGTTCTCAAGTGAGTTTTTATTGATCGGTGTATGCAACTTGATCCTCAATTCAATTATCGTCCTTTTGGCGAACTATTTCGTTATATCTGGGCGACTCTTCCACTCGAGTCATCCGCATTTGCCAATAACTACATCTAAAATTTCCGAAGCATTGAATCTGCTTGAATTTCGACTTTCTTGCAAATTAAGATGTCAAGACCACCACAAAGACCCATTAAACGCCTTCTTGTGGCCAACAGGTGCGTCACGTGGTCCATGAGATCCAATCAACGCACTGATACTTCACAGAGGAGAGATAGCATTACGCATAATATCTTCTGCTAGAGAGCTTGATATCGAGACATATGCTCTATACGTATCAGGAGACTCATCACATGGCATTAGGGCTGCCCAGGCAATTGAATTACCATCAGCATCCAGCTTCATGAACATCGATGCTCTCATCGACATCGCCAAAAAACATGAAATTGATGCAGTTCATCCTGGCTATGGCTTTCTTTCAGAATCTGAAGACTTCTCAAGGAGAATGTGGGAAGAAGCAAAGGTTATGGTTGTTGGGCCTGGTTGGGGCATCCTTGGACACACAGGAGACAAATTGAAGGCAAGAAAACTTGCGGAAGATTGTGAGTGATCTGACTTCGCAGCTGAGTTCTATCCCTGACATTTACAGGCAATGTTCCGGTCTCTCCAGCGTTGCGCAATCCAACAAATGATGTAAAGGACGTCCGAGCATTCGCGGCACAAGTTGGCTATCCGATCATGGTAAAAGCAGTCGACGGTGGAGGTGGACGAGGAATTCGACTAATCAGAGATGAAGTTCAGATTGATTCTTTGGTCAAAAGAGCCGTGGAAGAGAGCCCATCCAAGCAAGTCTTTGCCGAGAAAGCAGCCGTAGATGGATTTCGACATGTTGAGGTGCAGATCATCGGTGATGGGACTGGAAATGTCACTCATCTCTGGGAACGAGAGTGTAGCATTCAGAGACGGTATCAAAAGATTGTCGAGCTAGCTCCATCTGTCGTATCCGATCGGAAATTGATTGCAAAGGTAATTGAGGATGCATTGAAGATGGCTAGACACGTAAGTACAACGGATCATGCTATGAAACTCATTGAAACTCATCAAAGGCAAGGTTCAATACTTTTCCCTTGGCACCTTCGAATTCCTGGTGAACCCTACAACGAAGGAGTACTATTTCCTGGAAGTCAACCCACGCCTGCAAGTGGAGCATACCATTACGGAATGCATATCAATGGCAGACATTGTTAAATCGCAGCTTCTCCTCGCTCAAGGCGCGAATCTCAACAACTGTGGGCTCCCTCGAGCAAAGCGAGAGCCTGAAGTGCCTCCACAAGCTCATTCAATTCAATTACGAGTTACAGCAGAGAATTTGAATAGCGATTGGTCCCTGTCAATCGGTAAAATCACATCGTTTCAGTTCCCAACAGGCAATGGAATTCGTATTGACACTCACCTCATCAGTGGGCAGCCATCGATTGTATCTGCAGACTTCGACAGTCTCATTGCCAAGGTTATTGTCACAGCGTCTTCATGGACCGATGTGGTTCGAAAGGCTCAACGTGCGTTGGCCGATACACAAATTGTTGGTGTAAAGACAAATCTTGAGGTATTGAGGGCGATTGTTGCACACCCCGATTTCCTGAACGGTAGTTGTGATACACAGTGGCTTGAGAGTAAGCAGCAAGAACTTTTCCAGCTCGGCCAGCAGATTTCTGCATCTCGACCACAGCCTTTGGCATCTCTTTCATCTACATCGTCATCGAGCTCCTCCGTGTCAGCTGGCAGCCTGCTGTTCCGCAAAGGTGACGCTTGGTCTATCACGTTGTCTTCTCCAGAAATCAAGAATGTCTCTACATCACAGCAGCCACCACATCATCTCGAACTTACACGGGTCCTTCGAAACGATTTCCCGAACTCTCTCAGTGCAGAGCTTCTTTTCACTTCGCCATCAACTTCCACTTCATTGAAACCACAATCGGCTCCGTATACCATAACCCTTGCATCGACATCTGCCAGTGCCGCGGCAGCAACTTCGCACCACATACGCGGAAACCCGTCCGATCCATCACATATCAGCATTCCATTCCCAGGCAAGTTGGTCGAAGTGCTTGTGGATGAGGGGGACATTGTGAAAGAGGGTGACGTGATATGTGTAGTCCAGCAGATGAAGATGGAGCTTGAAGTACGTAGTCCAAAGAGTGGACGCGTGACGTGGGTTACAGAAGCGGAGGATGGAGAGGATGTAGCAGAGGGGACATTGGCTGCGATTGTGGAGAGCGAAAAGGAAGCTCGGTTGTAGATATTCTTGTGCAGATTAGCAATTGTCCCTCGAAAGATATATCTACATAGCTGTAACATGCCTTGAAGACCTTTGCGTAGCACTGTTTCCGTGAAGATCTATGTATATATGTAATCAGAAGCCCGCGTTGAATTAGTGTCGGGCGGGCACTTTGAAATCGACCCACGGCTCTCTACGTACACTAAAATTCAAATGCAGTACTCTAATTCAAGAGCATTATCATAATTTACACAGCTATTGCATCTTCTTATTCGATTTCTACGGGGTGAGGTCAGGTTATGACCATACCGCAAAATTACTCATCTCCAACGCGCTTTCCCCACAACCAAACCCACTTCGAGTCAAAAATTTCCCACTGCCTGCCCCGCTTCCAACCACTCCAGGCTATACCACTCGACCCTTGATATCCTTTTTGTCGGTGTGTATATCCGTCTTAATTCAAAAAAATTCCATCCAATCACCAATCACCAATCTTCAATGGTCTAGGTTAGCACAACCCACATCCAATAGCGAGTATCAGCTTGCTAACAATCGTTCAGTGGTCATGATTTCCGCTTGTCATTCTACAAGCGCGGGAGACCGGAGTTCGATTCTCCGTTGGAGAGGTTCTATTTTTTTTTTGCTGAAAATTATCTTTTGCATTTTGTGTGTGTGGAAGGTGCTAACCTGATTCGCGCTATCGCGATACCAACGTCCCCTTCCAGCAACTACCCAATCAAATTATCCATCTACTACGTAGACAAGGAGAATCCAACGTAGTGTTGATCATACAATCCTGGAATTGCCCGGCTTAAGCGCTGACGTGAGGTATACATCTAGCAGAGTAGTCGGAGTAAATCAGCGTCCCCTGATTGGTCCGATGCTACCAGCAGACGCTCGAGAATGCAACCTTGCTACACGTTACGGTTACGGCTGTCAGCGGCGCAGCGTCATGGTGGGTAGTGGGGAAGAGGTAAATACGCCCGATGGCAAGTTTTAAGACGGCAGTGTGTGTTTCGTGGGAGACTTTGATTTTTGTTCGAACACAACGAAACGACTCTTCGCTCACTCCCAAGACCTATGTACAAAGGTTCGTAAACATGGCCACAATAATCGCAATCGGGATTTCTCTCCTTACTAGCTACTTTCTCTACACGATAATCTACAGACTCTTCTTCCACGCCCTGTCCCGCACCCCTGGCCCCTTCCTCGCCCGCATCACAAAACTCTGGCTCGTCTACCACGTGCGCCGCGGACAAAATCACATCCTCTTCCCCTCTCTCCACCAAAAATACGGCCCAATCGTGCGTATAACGCCCGATACGGTCCTCGTCTGCAGCGAAGATGCCATCAAAACGGCATACTCGGCTGGCTCATCGTTCACAAAGGGCTCGTGGTACCAAGTCTGCGGGGCTCCGGATAAGAAGAAGAGGGGCGAAAACCATCTTGATTTATTGACGGAACTGGACCGCGATAAGTATAGGAGGCAGCGGAGGGCGATTGGGCCGGCGTACAGCATCAAGGGCTTGGAGAAGCATGAGGGGATTCTGGATACGTACATCGCCACGTACGCGAGCCGGCTGCGCAGCCTGGACGGAAAGGAGGTGGATTTAGCAGAGTGGACGCATATTTTTGCGCTGGACGGGCTGGGCTACTTCGTTCTGAGCAAGAGTCTGGATTACACGGCCGCGGGTAACGATGGTGGGCACGGCGTGTTTGGACACTCGGTGTGGGGATGTTTTACGACGCTGGGCTTGTTCCCCGGGTTCGTTAATCTTATGCATGCGATTCCGGAGTATGGCATGCTGCTCGCGGTGCCAGCGTGCTTGGTGCTGGGACTGGAGCTGCCGAAGCGGTTTCCTGTGTTCAAGTGGTGTGTGCCGACCATTATGGCGCGGTTGGAGAAAATGAAGAGTACAAGTGGCTTGCCGCTTATGGCGAATCGGTTTGGGATCCACGTCTCGTACGATAAGACGAAGGGAGTGGAAGAGAAAGAGGAGGAAGAAGACGATGGCCAGGAGAAAGACCTCCTAGCCAGCCTGATGGCACTGCACCACGACAAAGAGGCCAATTTCAACCCAGCCTGGGTCCTAGGTATCACGCTCACAAATTTCGGCGCCGGCCACGAAACACTGATGCTCACAATCGCATCGTGCATCTACCACACATACCGACACCCTGCCATCCTATCCCGCCTCCGACGCGACATGCAAGAAGGCGACATCACCATAACCTCCAGCTACACGGAAATTGTGAACAAAGTCCCCCTCTTCATGGCCGTCCTCAAAGAAAGCATGCGCATCTATCCCGCAATCGGCTTCTTCCTCCCACGGGTCGTACCCGCCCCCGGCGCAACAATATGCAATACGTACCTCCCGCCCGGGACAACCGCGGGCGTGAGTCTGTACGCCGTGCACCACGACCCAGCACTGTTTCCGCACCCGGAGCGTTTCGACCCCGATCGCTGGATGCTGGACGGCACTGAGGCGAAGAAGCACGACATCGGGCGCTTGGATAGCGTGTGGATGGGCTTTGGCGGCGGGAGTCGAAGTTGTCCGGGACAGTATCTTGCACGGTACTTTGCGATCAAATTGCTTGTGAGACTGGTTTTGGAGTTTGAGGCTGAGGTGCAGGGGACGCCGAAGTTGGGCGGGTGGTTTGGGGTGCAGATGAGTGGGACGGATGTGAGATTCAAAGACAGGGCATTTGTACCTGGAGTTGTTTGAGGGATATGGGTGTCTGGTTTAGTACACGCCATCCCACTCGACCATTTGGACACTTACACTGGAGCGTAAGGCTAGCGGCGGGAGTGGCGTGAACTAGCAAGATCTCACATTAGTGTAGATCTGAGCCGCATGCAAACGTCATGACTTGTACCTAGACTATCCAACGTCACGATTAGCCATAGCTTCAAGATGGTCTCGAAAGAAAGTTCATTATCTGATGGAATCCTCCTGTGTCCCCAACTCTTACCTGCACATTGAACCAGAGAACATCAATTGATCGATCCAACACAGAACACATCATAATACCCAATTTTCAATCCCAATACGCATTCAAATTCAATTACTCAACTTCTCCAAAATGGCATCACGAACCCTCGCTCCCTTCCTCCGGCCCTCCCTCCGTCGCTCCTTCCACCTCATCCCCAAACCCACATCCACAACACCACCCCGCCGTTTCCTAAACACCGAAACAGCACCCAGCCTCTACTCCGCAAAAGCTCACGTCGTAGGCGCACGCACAGGGTCCGCAGCCCCATCTTCCAATCCAAACTCCCAACACACTCTTCATGCCCCCTCCCCAAACCCCCTACCCAATCCTTCCACCAAACCACACTGACCATCCTCCAGCCACGTGCAAGCCGAATCCCTCAACGTCTCCCTAACAATGGCCAAAGCCCTCGGCGGCGCCGGCGACACCGGAAAAACCAATCCCGAAGAGCTCTTCGCCGCAGGCTACGGCGCGTGTTTCCAGTCGGCCATGAACGCCGTCGCGCCGACGCTGGGCGTCAAAATGCCGAGCAAGACCGAGGACTCGGTTGTCGAGAGCACCGTCGAGCTCGTGGGCAGCATGAAGGAGCTCGATATGGGGTTGCGGGTGCAGTTGCTGGTTAGAGTTAGGGGATTGGCAGAGCAGGATTTGGAGAAGGTGGTGCAGAGGGCGAGGGAGGTTTGTCCGTATTCGAGGGCGACCAAGGGGAATGTGTATACGACTGTGAGGTGTGAGACTATGTAGATGTGGGCAAATGGTGGGCGAGGAATGTATTGGTGCATGTTTTGGTATTGAAACTGAAACCTCCAATGGCCTAGAAACACTGCGCAATGCCTTTTTGTATATAATACAGTGAAAAATGAAATTTGCTTCTACCAGCGCCACTATGTTTGTAACAGCGTGCGCTTGGGAGCTGAGCGGTAAACTAAAAATGGTACATGTTGGTAAACTATCCCGACCGAGCGATTCGATGGGAAACTTGTTGACCTTCAGACGTCGGATGGCGCCATTGCCTGAGAACTAGGAAAGCAATCAATGACAAGTCTTGCAAGTACTGCGGTTTCACCTGTTTCCAAGCAACGGTTGCGTCTCGCTGCTCTCCCCAGCAGGGCCCTTCTTCTTCTTACCTCGCTTCTTTCTCTTCTTCTTGTTTCCAGCTTTACCTCCCGCGTTCGCCGACTCGGCTTCAGAATGTTTCGAGTCTTCCGCACCGTCAGCTTGATTGTAATGAGCTTTGTCTTCAGAATCACTAGAACTTGTAGTCTCTAAAACAATCTTCTTGATCCCATTCACGTCAACAATGTTCTCCGAGATGCTACCACTCCTGGCCGTGTGCCTTTTCGTGGGTGGGCTGTGTGATCGTGATCGCACAGAGTGAAGCGAGGCAATAGTGCTGACCGATCGTGTGCGTTCCCTTGAGCCGGGTCTGTTGTCGACAACTAGATGAGCGTCCTCATCATTCTCATTCTCTTTGGCTTTAGGCGACAGAGGATTCTCTGCCGTTGCTCTTAGGCCAGAATATCCAGATTTCCAAGAACTACGATCGCCATTAGGATCCATGGTACCATATCCCACGGCTAGACTATGGACACCGTCGCTGGCTTCTATGCCAGCGGATCCAAGAAGACCTTCACCAATTCCTCCTTCAGGCGCATGCGACTCTTCAGCCACGACGCTCCTTGACGGCGGTCTTTCATGTTCGGGTATCGTATTAGGAATGTCGGGGACAGTGTTGGTGTGGCCAGGTTTGATCTTGACGGCATTGATGCGGGTCGGTTTCGGGGCATTAGCTGCGTTCGAGGGACCTAGGTGCTTCAAGTGCTGCAACAGCTCGGGATTCTCGCTTCGCAGACCTTCAATATTTGCTTTGCTGCCGCTGCTTCGGCGTCTGATAGCGAACGCAGGTTTCGGTTGCCCGTCGGACGTCATTTCTGGTGCAGAAAGTTTACGTGGAGCAGCAGTGCCATTTCCGCTCTCGGGTTCAACATCGACCAACAATTGTTCGGAATGCTTTCGGGAAAGTTCAGTCACGATTTTACCCCTAGGAACACGAGCGCGGGGTGCAGGAGCCATGCGGCGGATAGCTTTGTGAACGTCGATGAAGACATCGGACTCGTCAATGATTTCCCTGTTGAAGTTAGCGATTGCCGAAATAATTGGGGACCTTGACTTACTCTCCAATAAGCTCCTCGATGACATCTTCCAAGGTAACTACGCCGACGGCACCTTGGGCTTCGGCTGGGAACTCGGATACGAGTACCATGTGGGATTTGCCCTCTTGGAAGAAGTTGAGAATGTCCAAGCAACTGGTCTCAGGGCGTGTCTCTGGGAGAGTTGCCAGGGCAAAGTCGCGCACGCGCTGTGCATCCTCGGGATCGTAAGTGATGAGCATTTTGACCAGAAGCATGCCAACGAAGTTGTTCTTGTTCTCGGGGGTATGGATGGGGATGCGGGAGTACCCAGCGGAAAGAATGTTGTCCATCATCTTCTCGTCGAGCACGGTATCGGACGACATGGTGAAAACGTCCTTCATAGGCGTCATGATGTTGCCCACGGCCTTTGCTTTCAGGTCCAAAACAGCCGTAATAATAGTGACCTCGTCCTCGTTGAGTCGTTCTTGCTCCAAGCCCA